TTGCACCATCGGTTCGATTTTTTTCCCCCCATTCGGTTCGGTTAACCGCGGTTTTCGGTTTTCACAGTTCGAATTGTCATCCCTATTTGCACAATGACATTGAAAGAAAATGTCTTTCTATGCTCTTTACCCTTATTCTTACTAGTACTTATCACCAATTTAAGTGGCAACTAGTGATATTTAATGATGGATTTACTTAAATGCAAAATCAAATAATCTATTTAATTAGATCTATCAAGTGTGACCACTTAGATTAATGATTTAACATCACTGATACTAAATAACATTATTTAATAAATAAAGAGAAGAAGAAATTAATTGGCATTTTATGTTTTGGAGGTGGAGTTCCACCAAAACTCAAATTAGATAATAATGCTCCATCGAATGACTACACGATCATATAAAATAACTAAGTCAACGTAAATCTCATTTTTTAAATATCTTTTGAGTTCCCGAAATTGACAAAAATGTTAGCTCGGGGGCCAAATGTCGCACCCCTTTTTTGTGGGTACAATTTAAAGAGAAGAAATGTCACGAGAGAAACGTCACAACCATTTTTTCAAAGTTTCAAGTAAATTTTCTATGTCTAGACAAAATTATGAAGACCTACAAAATAAGAATTTCAACTTTCCTAAAACACTCATCGCCATTCAACATCGCTAGAATAAACGGCCTAGTAAGAAGAAGACTAATTAACCATGCCATATATATTTTCAATGCCACAAAATTCTTTCAAAAGGGATGTTCCACCTTTCATACATTATCATGCCATTGTTTAACACCAAATTTTCCAAAATTGTCTTGCACTCATCTTAACTATTTCATTTGATCAACAACCAAATCATACCTCTCATGATGTGAAGATTTGCCTTGGATCCCACTGCAACCAATAGATAAATGACTAATCATCTTCTTCTTTCCTTCAATAGTCTAAAAACTCAGTGTATTATCTGTTGAGAAGGCTATTCAGTGTTTCGATTCAATATTCAAGGATGTTCCCACATACTTGTCGATCAAATCATGAATGATTTATTATAATTTCAATAATGATACAAGGATGTTAATGCCATTAAGAACGTATTAATGATGGGATTAAATATCAATTCCAACAAGTGTGTGTTTCTTGTTTTGTTATATAACTATGATCTTTCTCAGCAGTCAGCCTATGTTTCCGGGTGCACTCATAAAGGCATGATTAGTTCTACAAATGTCACTGCACTAACCATATATAGTAAACTCCTTTTCATTGTATTGAAATAGAGGTTTGATTTAACCGACCAGGTTCAACATCACATTTGACATCAAAGGAAGGTACAGTCCAACTATGATGTACATCAGCGGATGTTACGATAATACGTAAATGAGTTTTCTCTGGTACCACCACTCAATTATCTTCGGCACACATTTACAAAATGTATAGAGGCTGCAGTTTTATTTAAAAAATAAATAAATTTAGCATATGCTTAGTTTAGCTAAAAAATTGATAAAAAAATTAAATTAAAATCAACAATTAATTTTAGTCATACATTTCATGATATTCGCAACTTTTATCAACTTTTCGACAACACACTTCATTAATTTTTATTAAAATCTACTAAAAATAGGGGCTTAATCATAACCGAGTTGATTTAAGAATTAAAAAAATTTAGTAGTCTACCTCACCATCTACCTTATTCCTCACAAGGGAACCATTTGATTGATAAGTTGAACCTTTGATGTTCTTGTTAAATATTGCAACTTTATATGCAAGTTATGAGAAAATACAAGAGAGAGAATTGACTTTGTTGCCACCTTTCCCAACTAACGATTGATAGCTTCAATTATGAGTAAAAGAGATAAGGAGCCCAGGAGGTAACCCTTCCAACTTACTCACTCACAATCTGAATTATGTGCTAATTCACATAACATAAAGTTTGTGTACATATTCTTGAATTATATATATGGCTTTAGCTTCACGTCTACTCAAAAATCCACAAAAAATAGCCTGCAAAACATCTCTCAATTGTGCTCATCATTAATTTTTTTCCACACGCGTTGCCTTTCCTTTTTATCTATCTTCAATATGAACTTTTCCCCTTCAGATTGTGCCTATTAGCTTTTCGACATGGGCATGCCTAAGTATCCGCGGGGAAAAGTACCATTGTCGATCATTACCATCTCTGTTTGCGCCTTGGCATTCGTAGTTCTCTTGTCCACTGAAAGAATCAGCCCTCTTTCTTCCGGTTCCATTTTCAGGTTTACGTCCTGCAGTGCTAAACGACATGCTGCAAAGTTGAAGAAGTCACGTACGTGTTTGATGGCTTTAAATTTCAGACGAGGCAATTCCACAATATTTTTCCTGTTATGGGAAATGCCAGGCCATTTGATGATAATGTGTTTTGATGATTTCACAGGTGATGAGTACATCAAGCCAATTAGTTATGCAGATGATGACAGGTTTGAGTTTGATCCAGAAGAATGCAGTCTAGCTCATGGGAAATGGGTGTTCAATCAATCAGTTAAGCCTCTGTACTCAGACAAGACATGCCCGTATGTGGACAGACAATTCTCCTGTGTTCAGAATGGACGCCTCGATTCTGATTACCGTCATTGGCAATGGCAGCCTGATGATTGTATGTTGCCTAGGTAAGTTGCATCATTTTAGGCACGTCCAAAATTATGTGGGTTCGGCATAGCATACGAATTTGATCTTTTCAGCCTTTCAAAGTAGAGGTTTGCTCGACCCCCTGACATGACCCAGGCAGGTCACTAGCCCCTATAGCCAGGCCCGACACTGTCCAGCCATAGGGTGGATGTGACATGCCTGGATCGGGTCATCGAAACACATTTTGACACCTCTATATCTTTCAACACACTCATAGAATGAAAAGCAATTCTATCACATGCATAATCTTCTGTACTGAAATTTCTTGTAACTGATATACAACTTTCTGCAATCACTTTCTGTTCAGGTTTGATCCTCAAATTGCGCTGAAAAAACTTCAAGGAAAGAGGCTAATGTTTGTAGGGGATTCAATTCAAAGAGGACAATGGGAATCCTTTGTTTGCCTAGTAGAATCCGTAATACCCCAACACCAGCAATCCATGAAACGAGGCCGTATGCATTCAGTCTTCAAAGCTAAGGTACATAGAAAGCAGCATTTTCTTACACATAATCCTAATTATTGACTTATAAGCCGACAATTTTCGAGTCTTGTTTTATAGAAATACTTCTTTTCCTCATGAATTTCTAAGCCAAAGAGTTTCACATTCTTTTCAGGAATACAATGCCACAATTGAGTTCTATTGGGCTCCATTTCTAGTAGAGTCCAACTCAGATGTTCAAAAAATAGCAGATCCAAAAAAGAGAATTCTAAAAGTTGATTCAGTTGCCAACCATGCCAAACATTGGACAGGAGTTGATATCCTTGCCTTTAATA